ACAGTAGGAACATTGGCGCTAGAAGGAGGGCCCAGGCCACTCTTGCCCCTTAGCATCGACTGGGAGGCTTGTTCCGGTATGCCTAAAATATAGAGAGGCACGAATTCAATTTTAGAACTTAGACTACACACTTAACAAGGATATCATATGTCAACTCTTCGTAATCACTTGTAATGTCATCACATCTAAAAGCTTTTTTCAAAAATAATTCAAGAGAGTTATCCCAATTCAAGAGTTGAACATTGTAAACTTCGTATGCTTTAAGCATTCGTAGGATATGGTCATCTCTAGAAATTATGATGACCTTACTCCCTGCTCCTAACCATTCCCAATTAGCAGCTAATTCTTCCAGTTGTTCAATTTGATCAACATTGTCAAAAACTATAAAAACCCTTTCATGGCATAGCCTCCTTTGTATCAAATTAGTTATCTTAGGAAGCTCACAAATCTGAAGGTTTTCATCATGTAGAGTTTGATGTAGAAGTTGCTTATGTACACCAATTGGACCATGATCTCTATAAATTTTGCTTACATCACTAATAAAACAGAAAGCATCATAATGATGAGAAATCCTGTCATATAAAACAGTAGCAAGAGTTGTCTTTCCTATTCCACCCATCCCGCAAATTCCAATAACATGAACATCATCAACTGAGCTCAAAAGTAAAAGCTTCTCTATTTCTTCTACCGGAGATTGCATCCCAACAAGATCAGGTGGAAGACTCGAAACTTTGTGATCCAAAGTACTTATTATCTCATCCACAATATTTTCAATCTCTGCATATTGTGGCCTAAAAGTTCAAAAAAAAAATAAGGAAGACCCAAATCATCATGTAAGAAACTCAAAACAAGAAGTACATGCATAGGAAAAAAATGTGACTAATTCTTCAACAGTGTTATCAAACTTTTTGCTTGTTAAATCTAGCTTGAAAAGAGAGATTAAATTTAAGAATATCAAATCTCAGAGAAACAACCAAATATATACCTAATACTCACTGAGTGCAAAGTAATATCTTTTATAAAACCCATCCATTTACTCGTGTTTTCATTTTCAGCTTTCACTTTTGAATTACAAAATTGTCATTTTTTTTTCAAATTTCTTAGAAGTGGGATATGAATCTAACTCAACCTTACAAAATTAACTTGTAAAGTAATGATTGTCTTTACTTTTATACTTTTTTTAGTCTTATTTCTAATCGATGCAGGACTTAATTTTTTCCAATAAAATTCTCTTATTTTCAAAGATTTGCACAGGAAACACCTAAAAACAACTTTTTTTCTTGGATTTTTCTATTTCTGGTACAAATCTTTGAAAACAGGAAATAAATCGAAAACAAGCCAAAATTTTGTAATTAAAATGTGAAAACTTGAAATGAAAACAGAAGTAAACTGGAATCAAGTTGCTGCATGAGCATTAATCATCATTATCAAAAAAGATTACTCACTTGTATCTTACATCCCAACCAGAGAGATTGGCCACTTGTGTGAGAGCTTCCCTCCATCTTTGCACTTCCATCATCTTGCATGAATCATGTTTGAATCTTTCTTCATGGTTGTCAAAGGCATTCTTAAAATCTCCACTCTGTTTGCGCACCTCAGATGGATCAACATCATAGAAAATAGGAAAAACACGTTTTCCTGTGACTTGAATACAATCAAAGATCTTCTCAAGTTCTCGCAAGCACCATGTTGAGGAAGCATAGTTCTTTGAGAAAATCACAATCAGAATCCGAGACCCTTCAATTGCTTGCAGCAATTCAGGTGCCAAGGGTTCACCTTTCTTGAGCTTTGTATCATCCCTGAAGGTAACAATGCCTCTTCTTTTGAAGGCACCAAAGAGATGATCAGTGAAGTTGTTGCGTGTGTCACCTCTAAAGCTCACAAACACATCATATTTACTTCTCATCTGAGATGAAGAACAACTTTGAATGCTCTTGCAAGCCATTGCAATATGCAAAAAGCAAGAACAAACTGAAATGAAGAATGTGTGATGTAAACACTATTATTATTGGTAGTAATAACGTGATGCTACAATGCAAGAGCAAATGTTTCTAGTTATAAAGAAACCATGGATACTTCCCAAGACTTGGTCAACTTAAGACTTATGCGTCTTGTGATGGTTTGAGAAATGGTCAAAATATAATTGAAAAGGAGTGCATTCAATGATACACAGACTACAAAGTCACAAGTGAAATTTATTAAACAAAAGTTTCTGATTTCTAATAATTTCTAGCCTATAAATATAATAAAGAATGTATTAAAAAGTACTTTTTTAGAGTGGAAAAAACATTTTTTGTTCTAATTAAATGCATGTCTATGCTTCCTACACGGTAAGGATAGGTTGAAAAATCAAATGCAGACAAAATTCTATTGCGAGTGAAATTTTGACTGGGACTCCTTTGAATTTGGCGATTGGAAATATAAGGAAACTGCCATTACTTTTCATGTGCAGTGCAGAAGACGTGAAATTATGTCATCCTCAGATTATTTTATTTTTTTGTCTATACAGCAGTTATCTTCTACCAGAAACAATTTTGTTCTAACCAAAAAGGATCACTGTAGATAACAAAGCTCTTATTTAACACAATTGCATGTTCATGACATAAACTTGAGACCTATAATTAAATCAAAACACCCTCAAAACAGTTGATGCATGTGTACGAAGGTATGTCATCCTCATTTTTTACCACAATTAATGAGTCTTAGATCATATTATTTCCTTTTTATAATGATTTAGTCTTCTTTTTTTTTAATTATAGACCAATTGATATCTTAGAAATTTAAACTTTAATCAATTATTTTTTCTCAATTACACTCTTGTTTAATAATTACTATAAACAATTATTTTGATTAGTAATTTGATATTAAAAAAAATACTTTAATCCAAATATAATAATTTTTTCATCATTAATATTCTATTAATGTATGTATACTAATCTTAAATATTTATAGACAAACAGTAGTATCATTTTACATCATATCTTATCCATCACCCTAATGTGTGGATAATTGACACAAAGTTATTTTAATATGATTAATCGTCTCGAATTTGAGTATCAAAATGGAGTTGTTTTTTAATAAAAATATTTGTTATTTAAAATGAAATTACATTGTTTAAACAAGGTTACTTTTGATAAAATTTACAAGTCATTCTTGTTAAGGGAAAGA